GATATACAGTGAGCACTATATTTGGGTTTTATTTTTTCTCCATACTGAGGACCTCCTCCGCCTACCAACATCTATATCCTACCAGTGGGGGATCGACACCACTGAATGCCAGTTATACCTGAGCTAGTTCTAGCTCTCTAATAGGTGAGTGAGAATACCACCCTGCTGTGAAGTTTTTATTTTCCGTTTTATCAGTCGCAGTTTGCACTATTGGAGTCTTTCTTTCTGTATTCACATATTTTAACCTGAACCAAGAGAACTCAACCATTTTCAAGATCTACAACCCATACAGACTTACATCAAACCCTAGCTCCTGCAAGTCTACCTGGTTTTCTACCTGCCCATTTAATATCAGGAAATTTTGTAAATTTTGCTTTGTCTGCTATATGTGAGTACATTGTGGCGCGACCTATCTTCATTTTTATCGTTTTTTATTAATATTGGATTATAGTTCTTGCAGTATTGGCATGGAGTGGGGTATGATGGTAAAATGCACTGGTTAGTTGTCAAATTAGGCTGTTTGTAGTTGCCTCCCAAGTCAAATGTAAGCAGCCCTCCTCAGAATAGATACATTGATTCATTGACAGCTGCTAGAGGCGCTTCCGCACTTCTCACTATAAAAATCACAGTGAGAAGACGCTGACATCCATAGGAAAGCATTGAGAAATGCTTTCCTATGGACTGATTGAATGTGCGCGTGGTTTTTGCTGCGCATGCGTATTCAGCGCTGATGTCGGAAGAGGGAGGAGTGTTCCCCAGTACCGATGGAGCCTGACACTGGAGAAAAGTAAGTGTTTAAGCCCGGCGAGAGTGGGACCCTGAGGGTGGGAGGGACTCAAAGATCCTGTAGTGCCAGGAAAACATGTTTGTTTTCCTGGCACTATAGTGGTCCTTTAATGCAACCCCCATTTCAATAATGACCTAGCAGGGGTATGGGATCCATGCATAAAAGTATGTGCAGAGATATGTCATCATATTACATAATGCATATGCAGAGGCTGGGGTATGACCTCACATTACATAATATAAAGCATGCTCATGGCTATGACATCACATTATATCATATGAAGTATGCTCAGGGCTATGACCTCACATTACTTAAAATAAAATGTACTCAGGGCTATAACATCACATTATATAATATAAATGCTCAGGGTTATGACATCACATTATATAACATAAAGCGGGCTCAGGGCTATGATAATAGACTTAGTACCACTGAGGGGAGGACATCTGTGGCATGGATATGGAGTAGTGCACCATTGGCTGCCGGTCGCCAGCGTTCTATGCGTGCTGCTGACAGAGGCCCAATATCCACAGAATTCACATTAGCCAGCCCCTTGTTCCCGGTTGGCTAATGATGCCCCAGTGATGCTACTGGATGTGGAATTACACCATCGGCTGCAGAGAGGTTAGACTCTGTGCAGAAACACAACTTCAAATCATTGAAGTAGTTATGGTGCTTGGAATAAACCTTTAATTGTGCCATTGTTCCAGATTCTACTAATCTATCATTTCCTATAACAAGATAACTAAAGCATATCTCTTTAAGCAGGGATTTACACCGGAGCCCAACGTCTCACATTGCCAGGGAGAAATTCAATTAGTTTCTGAAACTTTTCAATCCCTGTGCCAGCGATATGATTCGTCTGCCCTCATCAATTATACATTTTACCCATGTCAGGTTTAGTCTGTGAGCTGTACACTTTGCAGGCACGCAGATTAAACACTATCTGCTCCAATGGGTCTGACTCTGCGCAGGTAAATGGGGGATGTTAAATAGACAAGAATAAAACAGAAAATATGTTGTTGTTTTTTAAAAAAAAGGCATTGGGAGACATTGAAATATATGTGTAAAAAGTAAGAGAAGTGCTGTATTTTATCAATATTTTTATTATTGCTAAATTTAATCTGAATTTTATAGGCTCATAATGCAGCCATTACTAAGTTTATGAAAATGTTCTGGATACCTGCTGACCATGTCCCTGTTCTAGCTGCATTCTGATTGGCTGAATACCAGAGTGAGTTACAATATATCTTCCATCTTGAAAGATGCAAGTTGCAAAAGGGGGTCATGACTTCATGCATTTCATGTCAATTACATTTGTTCCTTAAAGGGACACTATAGTCACCTGCACAACTTTAGCTTAATGACGCAGTTTTGGTGTATAGAACATGCCCCTGCAGCCTCACTGCTCAATCCTCTGCCATTTAGGAGTTAAATCCCTTTGTTTATGAACCCTAGTCACACCTCCCTGCATGTGACTTGCACAGCCTTCCATAAACACTTCCTATACAGAGAGCCCTATTTAGGCTTTCTTTATTGCAAGTTCTGTTTAATTAAGATTTTCTTATCCCCTGCTATGTTAATAGCTTGCTAGACCCTGCAAGAGCCTCCTGTGTGTGATTAAAGTTCAATTTAGAGATTGAGATACAATTATTTAAGGTAAATTACATCTGTTTGAAAGGAAAACCAGTTTTGTTTTTCATGCAGGCTCTGTCAATCATAGCCAGGGGAGGTGTGGCTAGGGCTGCATAAACAGAAACAAAGTGATTTAACTCCTAAATGACAGTGAATTGAACAGTGAAATTGCAGGGGAATGATCTATACACTAAAACTGCTTTGTTTAGCTAAAGCAATTTAGGTGACTATAGTGTTCCTTTAAGTGACAAGGAATGTTATATTCAGAAATTAGATTTTTAACTGAATCATGTTCATCAGATAGTTTTTTTGAAGAGAAACATGCCATTATTGCCCTGGCATTGCCTAGTTGAGCCAAGGGGTGAATAAAGGGATTATTCTATTTGTCAACATCTATTGGGTGGTTTTTTTTCACAATTTCTGCCAATTTGGCCAATATTCAGAAATGCATTGTGTTGCAGCCTAAAATTTTTAATTTCATTTTGTTTTGACTTTTAATTGCTGATAATTTTGACCCTGTCAAAAATCTGTACAGTCCACTGTTAAGCGAATATACCTATTAAAAAGTTACTCTATGGACCATGACCACTTAATTGACTTAAGTGGTCATGGTGCCTCGAGTCTGCATGTGAAGCGTTTCGGAGGTAACACTCCCCCACCCCCCCGGCAGCCGAAGGTGTAACTCACATTGCAGAATTATAAAAAGATCTGTTATTTTGCTAGAGACCTCATTTATATTTAAAGGACCACTCTAGGCACCCAGACCACTTCAGCTTAATGAAGTGGTCTGGGTGCCAGGTCCTTCTAGGGTTAACCCATTTTTTCATAATTATAGCAGTTTAAGAGAAACTGCTATAATTATGAATGGGTTAAGCCTTCCCCCTAATCCTCTAGTGGCTGTCTCATTGACAGCCATTAGAGGCGCTTGCGTGCTTCTCACTGTGATTTTCACAGTGAGAGCACGCAAGCGTCCATAGGAAAGCATTGTAAATGCTTTCCTATGCGACGGGCTGAATGCGCGCGCAGCTCTTGCCGCGCGTGCGCATTCAGCCGGCGGGGCGGATCGGAGGCGGAGAGGAGGAGAAGAGCTCTCCGCCCAGCGCTGGAAAAAGGTAAGTTTTTACCCCTTTCCTCTTTCCAGAGCCGGGCGGGAGGGGGACCCTGAGGGTGGGGGCACCCTCAGGGCACTATAGTGCCAGGAAAACGAGTATGTTTTCCTGGCACTATAGTGGTCCTTTAATTTGGAACTTTGTACCAGTAGAAGAATTATGCATTTCATTTCTGTCTATGTAGCAAATATTTTAAAATAAACGTATTACGGTATCTTAATCAATAGAGTTATAAGTGGGAATAAAAATGCTCTGTTCTTATCTCACTCTCTGGTTATATAAGATGTTAACATGGCAGGGAGAACGGATTGCGTTGTACGGAGTCCGGAGATTGTACGTAGGTGATTCAGGTCTTTGTCAGAGGTATATATCAGTGGTGTGTAAATCGTATTCTCCTGGGCTGCTCTAAGCCGCAGGTACATCTTTCACAGCAACACGGAACACTACGCATGGTGACAAGCTGAGCAATACCTTGTAAATTAAATAAATTCTGGTCTGTCATCTATATTCCAGGAGTGAGTCTAGAAATATTCATTTGCTCTCTCCACTTCAGGCTAGAACTGACCCATTCTGCATTGCATCGATGATCAATTGGCCGTGTCCTGCAGCGTCTGCCGGTTGGAGGTTCTGGATAAAGAGTAACGTATATGTGGACCAATCACCATGGAAACTGGTTGAATGTTTCTGCTTAGAACCCTGAATTCCCCCTACATACATAAAACATTGTACGGATTATTTAAATTGTGAATTGTTGGGAATTTTAAAGAGTATTTTAAGTTTTATGCCAAAATAGCTGGATTGGAGAAATTATCCAATTAATGATATCAACTGTCTTTTCACTTTGTGTATTTTGACCTAAAATCTTTCTCTCTTTCTATTTCTCTCTTTTTTTTACTATTTTTGTAGTGCATTTAGTGAATACATACATGCCTTTGGTGCCCCAACAGCAGCTTATTACATGCCGTACAATCAGGGTGTTTGCAGGAACATGCACAATTTTTAAAATGATAAGATTGACACATAGGTGATATCGCTTAAATAGATATGAACATAGGTTAAACTAAGCTTGTCATGCATCAGGCTAGGTCTAAGCAGGTTACACTTGCGCGTATAAGTTACTGTGGTCTGGAGCTGCGGTGTGTTAGCATTGGTACCTTATTAACTAAACAGTGCTAAAACACTAACTAAACAGTGCTAAAACATAGTTAAGACGTGGTAAACTAGTGCCTAAACATTCTGCTCTTGAGTCCGATTAATGCTAGACCTCTAGGCTGTCCAGGTGCAGTGGCTGCATGTTACCGGAACGATTAGCGTTTGTAGGCTTGTGGTATTGCCCCTGTTAGCTAATGCCCTCTGTTGGGATACGGTCGGCACCCGCTGGAGGTCCTCTGAGAGCCGCTGGTGTGAGGGTGCTCATGAGGGTGACCTTCTTGCCCCATGTCGGTGTGAGGTCCTGCATCCGTTGGCCACAAACTCGGTGCTTGCTATAGTCCGAGTTTCTTCCCCGCATGGGGGTAACGGAGTGTCTGGTGGTTCGCTTGTGTTTGCGCAGCTTGGTCTCCGTTTGTGTGGTTGATGTTGTCGGGTGTTCCCCGGTTTGAACGTCAACCCGGGTGGGCTCTGTGGCTTGGGGGTAAGTGGGAACGCTGTTGCTGTGCCCAAGGACTTTCCCCTCACCTCCCTCTGCCCACGGTTCTGCTCACCCTTGTGTTTTTTTGTTTTTTTAATGTAAGTGGTCCCTGAATCTAAATAAGGAGGAGAGCACTCACCATAGTGTTCCTTCAAATGTGTCCCAGACTAGGGATGGGGTCCCCTCTACCCTCGAATCAAATGTCTGTCTCTTCTGTCCCCTCCATCAGCCAGGCCCCAAGAGCTGCCACCTCTCATATCGGAGAATAAGTAGCTCAAATCCAGGCCCGGATTCTGCCACATCTTGACGTCGAAAAAAACATGTAGGGAAGTATGAGCCCTGGGCTCACAAAGTGTGTTTGACTAAACTCACCAACACCCGGGTGGCTAAAGTCCTCAGTATGAGCTATACCTCAGAGCTAACACTCATTATAGGGAGACATCTACAAGAGAAACCTGTAGGAAAGAAGGCAGAAGTAGGTAGCACCATCAGACTTCCTTCAAATGTTGCAACAAGCACAGGGTTATTTACCAAAATGAGAATTACCATGCACTTAAAGTGAATTTCTAAGTCAAGGCCATAGTAGCCAAACTGGAAAAATTCTTCTATTCAGCTATACTTCCAGTTTGGCTACTTTGGCCTTAAATTTGATTTTAATTACTGACAATTCTCACTTTAGTAAGTAACCCCGACAGTATGCATCCAATGCTCAGAAGGAATTTGTCCTTAATTACGCTTCAGGTCCAGCAGAGGGCACTCCCCTCTCACTATGTCTGTGAGTTTTAGTGGCTGTGGAGCTCTGTGATCCATTCATACAAAGAGCACATCATTGTTAGATGCATTTTTGTGGAGCTCTGTGATACACCCATGCACACAGCACATCCCTGTGAATCTTATTGCTGTGAAGCTCTGTGATACAATCACTCCCCAGATTCTCAAAAGTAATTTCTGCGACATATAAGAATTTCACCTGAAGTTCAAAAAAGACTTGCGACCGGAGACATTACTCTTTAAGAAACCTACAATTATTTTATGGATGTCATTTTCCTTTCAAATTTACCCCTTTTTTTGAGAAGTGCCTTTGAAAACCCCTGCGAGGCAGAGAACATAACAGACAGCCAGTGAGATAGTGATAAATGCACCTCTCCGAATCCTTCAGGTCAGGTCTGTCCTCTGCAAGTCATCACCACCGTTTCAATTTATGGGCAGCAATTCTCGTTCTCGTCTCCCTGGTATAAATAATTGATTGGAGCTCTGAGCAGAGTAATATTTATAGCACGCACAGACCGTATTTCAAAACAAGATCTCAGTATACGTATCGTATCACAGCTGAATAAGTATTAATATCGCCACCCAAATTCTTATACCTCCAAGGGAACGCCTTGACACGGGCGGACTGATTGCAGGATTTTAAATGGATTAAGTGCGTCTGCCTCCTTCCAAGGTAGCTAAAGAATAAATTAAAGTAAAAATAATATAGCATGTTAAAGCTGTCTGCCCAGGAAATGTATATGCTTTGATAGACTTCATCAATTAGCTCTTGACTTTAAGTTGCATAGTTACTTTTCATACATCCTTGTTGATGCTGTTGATCTAAAAAAATAAAAAAAAACAACAACCTAGTATTGCGTGCTTTCCAATGGTTTCGCAAAAATGGAAAAATCCTTCTGTACTCCATAGATTTCTCTTGGATTGAAGGGTTTCTCCAACCCTCTTTTGTATGATATAGAATAATGTCCTATTGGCATTATTCCATATGTCCCCCCCAAACTAAATGCTCAAAGATCATTTTAAAATAAGTTTAACTTACCTTAATCTAGCACTGGGCGAAGTTCTCTGGCACTGTTTGTCTGACGTCACAGGAGCCGCGCTGAGGTCCAAGCAAAGGCTTCTCATAGAGGAGCCTTTGATTGAAGAATTTAATGGGCTCAGAGTGCATGCGCATGCTCTGAGCCTGCAAGGGGGGGGGGAAAGCTGGAGGGGGAATGGAGCAGGAGGGAATGTAGGGGATTTAAAAATAAAAATAAAATAACGGATGGGATGGGATTGGGATGATAGAGGGCATTAATCAGTGTGAGTGGGAGGGAACACAAGAGCTTCTCCTTTGTAGACTCTGTCCGCAAGGGGTGAAGCTTTAACCACTTAAGGACACATGACGGAAATATTCTGTCATGATTCCGTTTTATTCCAGAAGTTGTGTCCTTAAGGGGTTAAATGCCTGTCGGCAGAATGCAATGTGCACTGATGGCAGACGTAAATTATAAACAGAATTGACATTAAGCCACCCACCCTAGGACTAATTAAAAATATGTCTTGATGTACAGCGTTTCAAGCTGAAACATTGCACATGCAGACTCCTACCACCATGACCACTTCAAATAGCAGAAGTGGTAATCGTAGTTGGAGTTACCCTTTAACTATTAATACCTTGTGTATAAATTATTTGTCAGGGTTTGGGAAGTGCTACTGTGCTTTCGGTTTATTTTCTACTTTGATTTTTAGAAAATCTAGAGGGAACTGTAACTGTAGTGTATTCCTTACACTCTAGAACCCATTTAAGTTGTTCGAAGTTGCAGGTGCGCAGTAGCATTTTTACAACAAAGAGTAGAGTTGAGCACTCTCAGTCTTACTGCTTGCATTACACCATGTATTAATACTTTCGCAACAAATGCATAATTATATGATCAGTGCAGACAGATAACCCCAAGCCAAGCCGCATATAGGTACAGGATGTCACGAAGCCTAACCCCAAAACACAGAGTCATGGTTAGCAGTAATAAACCGGACTGAAATAAATGTAGAGTGGCCAGACTTAAACTAATAATAGCGGAAACGTGGTCAAATAGAAGCCTAGTAAAACGAGACGTATTCAGGTACACGGTATATCAATCAAACAGGTTACCAGAACAGAAAAGGGTCACAGAGAAACTCAGGGTCAAGATCAAAGCCAATACCAGAAATAATACTATGTATCATCGAACGCATTAAAGGGTATTGAGAACAGATACCACTTTACTGCACAGCAAGTTTAAATACTGTTATATGTCACTTGATTGGTCCACATCGTGCCTGCAACCCCAAAACGGATGTGAATGGTGGTGCCAGACTGTTGGGGACCAGTTTGAGCTGGAAGTGATGAAACACCCCCGTTGCCCTCTTAAGAACTCGCTCTGAATGCGAGCAGATTTCTTTTCTCTGCAATTCGTGCCGCGCAAATGGCTGTTACAGTTGGTGCACATAGCTTGTTTTGAGATTCCTGAGCTAAACGAGCTCCGCGAACAGCTATTCCTGTTTGGCCTTTGTGGCCCAAACAGACGACCTTGAACGTCATGAGGGCCGGGTGAGTAACGCTGTACAGGTATAGTCATTATACAGCCTGGTCTTGCTACATACCATGTTTTTTTATGAATAACTTTGCAGGGTACAGTGTAGCAAATCTTCTGTGTTTGTTGTTTGTAATATAGCGTACATGGAAATCGAGCAGAGCAGGGAATCTGGTGCCTGGAACGCAGACTCCCGATTCCCCGCAAACTACCAGGTAAAGCAAACAAAAAGTCACTGTGGTTGCATATCTCCCTCTGTGACTTTGGACCTGTTTGCCACTGTATCCTTTGTATCTACTATTGTAATGACGATAGCGGTGCATAAAGCGGTCCTGAGTTTATTCAGGACACTGGAAGATTTCCCCCCAAAAATGGCAAATTTTCTGTCCCTATGAGAGAGGTCATACTATTAGAATGTCTCTTAAATATAACTCTGAAGGTAGTAGTTGGCCCAAACAGAAATGGCCAAGGGGAGGTGTCGAGTGACATCTTTTTGATACAACATGTACAGTCAACCAACGGTGAAGATCTTCCAATAGCAAACGGTTCTGCTAGTTTATGAACCTTTTTTTTTAAAGATAGAAACCAAAATAAACACATTATTACTATTTCATTCATCTGTGTAAGTGTTGGACAGCGTAGAAGTATAAAAACGTAAACTGCCAACACACGATATTTATTGAGCTTCGGCAAAGAAATAACAAGAATAAGAACATAAATGGCTTGTAGCTAGCTGTCTGATCTGCCCAGTCCATTAAATATATCAGAGAAATGATTTATTTGTAAGCAAACAGAATCATTTGGGTAAATGTGCTCATTTATAACTCTTCACAATAATGAAGAAACCATTGTCAGTAAATCATAAGGATGCAACTTAGCGTCTCCTGATAAAGGATTCTGGGAAATCCAAGATCCTCCAATGTGGCTGACAAATTACCAGTCGGATTAATTAATCTTTTCCCACCTGCAGACTAGACTTGTGCATTAATGCTTTTCAGCTGGTACGAACAAATCAAATTACTTTTACTCTACGTCCAAACTAATCGATCCATCAGGGATTTAATTGTGGAGTATTATTCATTGAATAATATTCCAAAGGTAAATCCAGGATGGATCGATTAATTCGGCCATAGAGTAAAAGGAATTTGATTTGTTGGTACCAGCTGAAAAGCATTAACGCACAATTCTACTGCAGACCAAGCTTAGCTTGTGATTGTAAACTTGGACAACAGATTGTCTTAAAAACAATTCCTGTTTTTCCGCGTTGGGAAAAATAAAAACCGCAGCTGGCAGCTATTGCGTTCTGGTATCTATTCAAATTGGTTTATTCGTGAAGTCAACATCTTGTGAAGATGGCATGTTCTACTCTCTCAAATATATACTGGTATTCTGGGATTTGCAGTACGAGGATGGAGTTCTCTGTGTTATAAACACAAAATGATCACAATACAGCTATTCCCTCATGTAGGGTTTAGGGATTAGAGAGGAACTGGCACTACTGAGATTTTAGCACAATCCAATAGTTTACTAAACGGGACAAGTGACTGTCATTTCCCAGTTGTGTACTTCATGCCTTTAATTGGAACCGTGACCACCTCTATGGGTTAAGCATGACTTTCGTACTCAGATCCCCCAAAACACGAGTTTGTTGCACATATAGATTATGAGAGACGTAGATTACACCATAAGCACCGCAGTCTAGTGTAAGCAAAACAGTTTACCATTTTTGATTCCCATGTTAAAGATGGTTAGCACCCTCCACTGTTGGGGAGCTTTGATGCACTGGTGGATTCAACATTATATGTCCATATACAAGTATTATTAAAGCTACCGATTTTGGTACCTTAACCCACCTGCAAGGGTTTAAAAGTTGAGTTTTGCCTACTTTCACTTCCTTGTCATGCTGGTCTTACCGTGGCCCCCCCCTTCTCTTTGGCTTAGATTATCACGATTGAATGCTGGCCTGGCCGAGCACTCCTATTCCCTGTCTGAGATCATCACGATTGATGATCTCAGCCAATTTAATCTTTCCCCGTAGCGGAGCATTGGGAGGCTTGTGTGCTAATTGCCATGTAGAGCCAATGAAATTATATCTAGAAGCAGCGTTTGATTCAGAACTGACCCTGATTCTCACTGGGGAAGTGTATCTAAGTTCTACAAAACTTCAATAGTTGACCAAGGACTCTGGCCATCCTCAACTGGCGGAGCAGACGTGGGCCCTGTGACCTGAAAGAGGAGGCTTAAACACAAACATACCAAGGTCTAAGCTCATGTTTCTCTTGTTTTTAATGTTCCTCATGTTTATGTTTAATGTTAAAAAAAAATAAAAAATACTAACCAACATCGCTGTCCGAGCCTACCCAGACGAGACAAAAAACACAACATGACACACTATACTCCACACCTCCCCTCCCCAACTCCCCTGGGGCCCCAATGGGACACGGGACATGCCAACCTGAACACGAGCAGGCAAAGCGCCAGGATTAACCCTGGGTTGCGAATAGACACAGAAATACATGGCTAAATTAAATGATGACGTACCAGAGGGCTCAACTCCAAAGACACCACAGCTAGGCTACCACAAGCCATGCCACACAGCACCCACGCCATACTAGTTAATTAGTACATACAGCTGGACAGACCCTTACAACTGCGTAGCCCACTCAAAATGTGCAACTATCATAGATGCCATATGTGTTTACTACCTCGCTATCTCCATCACTAACTGTTTTGATGGTACTGGCATGGCGCAAAAAACATTGTGATTACTCATGCACAGAAAACAAAATAAAGAATTAAAATAATAATAATAATATACAACTAACTGCACTGAATCCTATTAAAATTTCCTTTTTTACATACAATAGTTACTTTTTTTTTTTTTTTTATGTGAGGGTTAAACAAAACAAATGCCAAAACAAACTGTATATATTGATAGAGTAAAGTCTGTACACAAAAGACCACAAACAATATATGATTTGTAGGGATTATAAATAAATAAAGGAGTGAAAATTCTGTCCTAGTGAGAATAAAATTCCTAACGTATTGTAGACCAATGGTGCCCAAAAGGTAGATAAACAGATGTTCAAAAACTACAGCTTCCATGATGCTTTGTCATTCTAAAGGCATGCAAAGCTTCATGGGAGTTGTAGTTCTACAACATCTGGGGATCTATCTTTTGGGCACCCCTGTTGTAGAGAGGAAAACTCACTAGAGGCTCAGCAGCAAAATGATTAATTAGTTACCTATCTCAAGTGCTTTTCTCACAACCCGTGAGAACGCTGGATAATTTCAGCCACCAGTTAAGAGGAAGCCAACGGACGTTAATATGATACCTCGTCTTTTAATCTGTACATTCAGAGAGCAAAAAACTCAGACAATAAAACAGAGGAATTGTAGGAAATAAACATGTAGCAATTTTTTATATTTTACTACAATGTGCTAAAACAAAAAACATGACAGATTTGCTTTATTAAAGTATCTCTCCTGTTAACGTCTGAAATTTCATTGCCACAAATGTCGTCTGTATTGTCTGCATTGTGTTATATGTTTGTACTGAGCGGGTTGGAAGGCTCATAGTAAAACAACTTAAGTCGATGCTACAGTTAAGATTTTCCACATTCAATATAAGCTCAGTAGGTTATTGTCCTCTTTAATGATGTCTACATGTCATCTTGCCACATCATCTGGTACTGTCTGTTACATTATTAAATCCGCCATCTCCATCGAAGGACAGTTCTTTAACACTTACACCTTAACGAGCCTGTCTAAATTCAAAGGTAGCCCATTTTTCAAATAGTCATTCTCACTTCAATGGGATTTGTTTTGTTTTTTTGCTAGTGTTTGTTAGTGTTTATTGTAATGATCTTTATGTAACTAGCTACCCACTGTAAAACAAAGACACTAGGATCAGCTGCGCAAGACAAAAACTCTGCAAAGGTATAACCACCGTACTTGACCGCCGTGCTAACGGAAATCCCAAATGACAATTCTGTATTCCACCAGTTAAGATGACGATGATGGAAGACTAAAAAAAAATAAAAAATTAGAAAACCTTGGACGAATTATTTAAAGGGTTACTCCAACCACCATTACCACTTCAGTTATTTTAAGTGGTTATAGTGGTAGGAGTCTGGACGTGCAGTGTCTATGCTTGAAACACTGCAAATTAACAGCAATTTGCACTTTTATGCCGGGCTAGTTGCACGCCTGCACAAGCAGCTCAGATCTGTTCCAGGCAAGGTCTATTCTGTGCATAATTTACATCCATCGTCAGTACACACAGCACGCTAGCGACAGACCTAAGGATTCTCCTCTTGCATGCAGAGCCTGTAACGGGACGCTGTGCTCACCCTTCCCTCCCACTGTGCACTTCCTCCTTTTCAGGCAAACATTGCAACAGGAAGCTAGCTGCTGAAGGCATTGGCATGTCCAATAGTGCAGTTGGTGCTTGTACTGATTTCAGTGCCAGCTATCCTGACGCTACTCTGTGTACCTTTATCTTTACATAGCGAGAGCGTAGCTGTAGTGAATGTGTGATGTCATTCCGGCACATGCTGAGTAGTACTCCTGAACTTTGCTCTGTTATTTCTCTGGTGCTACCATGTTAGCAGCAATGGTTAGAGGCATTCAAGTGCAAAATTTGCAGATTTGGATCTTTTTCTCCATCAATTTAAAGGGAAACTCTAAACACCAAAATAATTTTAGCTTAATGAATCTATTTTAGTATTATGCACCTGCAGTCTCTATGCTCAATTCTCTGCCAATTAGGAGTTAAATCACTTTTGATTCTGTTCGTACGGCCAACATGAAAAAATATAAAACATATTTAATTTTCAATCATCTGGTATCACAGTGTGTTTAGTTTCGAAGTTATTAACTCATCCTCTGTTAATTGAACTTTACTCACACACTGGAAGCTTCTCCGGGCTATTACCAGAGCAGAATATAAGAAAGTCTAAATTAAACACACTGTGCAAAAAAGGAAGCTAAAAAAAAAATCTAGATTCTTTCCCAGGAAGTGTGTAGGAAGGCTGTGTGAGTCTCAGCCAGCGGAAGTGCAGACAATTTAGCAGTGAGACTGGAGGGAGCATAATCTGTATACCAAAACCACTGCATTAAATAAAATAGATTTTTAGCTTAGAGTGTCCCTTTAATGCATTTAAATACACTTGTAAATATTTTGGGCTTTTAAAAACGTTACAATCACTAAAATCTATCTAGTTGAGAGCCACATTTTGATTTACGTTTTATGATTGCACACGCATATTTTAATCTTAACTCAATTACCATCTCTGTGATTTGGCCTATCCCCAGATTAGCACTCATCCTCTTTTTGCATCTGTTTTCAGAAAATGCAGTCATTTCAGGATTACTTTCCAAATGAATATAATTGCATGTCGAGAGAGATTCTGCCACTTAAACTTCACCTCTCCAAGAAAATGCAATCTTTTTTCCCGAAAATAGAAAGTTTGAGGGCAGTAACCATGCCTACTTTGTTATATTTCTTAATGTCAGAGTGATTTTGTTTGAAAATGTAATTACATATGACACATGCACTGTGCACTTTATATCTCGTCTGTAAATAAAGCAAAGTCAATATTTAGCAAGGTCTGTAGACATGGATGGAATAATTAACATTACATAGTCACATATTTTCAAATCCAGTGACATTGCTTCATAAAAGAGTCCTTAGAGTTGAGCTAAAATCTCTTTGCAGTTTTCCAAGAATTGATACCTCGTTCATTGCTGAGAACAGATACAATTCCAGATACAAAGCAGAGCTGAACCTTGAAGCGGACTAGACGTATGTTGCACGGGCTCCCATCTATACTGATGATTTTTGGAGAAAATCCCCACGCACCGAGTTGACATACTCACAGTGGTGCACTCTCTATGTTGGGGTGCACTGGTGAACTTAAAAAAATACCTCACCAGGGACTTTAAGCCTCCGGAAGCCCATAGAGAATCGTTGAGGCCTGCAGGTGACAGAGCTGGGCAGAGGAACCGCACAAGTACTTATACTGTCCATCTCCAATCAGTGGAGGATATCCTGGTACCCGCTGAACTGTTTTCAGAAGCTTCAGAGGTCTCTGACATACATTCCTGGCAGATAGCTGAGCGCAATTCCACCCTTACTAGATGGCGCACGCATTTCCTTCAGATACGCAGAGCCTGAAATGAATCCAGAGGGTTCCGCAACACTCCACTGCGAGCTCTCTGATGCGGCTCGAAACGATTTACGGGCACTTCTGGGCAATGCTGGAGAAACGCAAGACTGTCTCTAAGTATTAGGATCGGGAAGGAGATCGGTGGAATGGGATGCAGGGAGTGGGAGAGTACTCTTCGGGCAACATTTTGCCACCAGCTACTGTCTCACTGACCGTTCTCCTACTTGGCCTCGAGGCTTGGCCTTAAAAAAATGCCCACAGAAGTGAAAGACTGTTCGTCGAAAGCTACACAAACATCCGATTCATCTGCTCTATCCCATTCAGGTGGGACGTGAACTTTGCAAACCCCCAAGTCATGGCAATGTGAAGTCAGTCCACCTGCAGACACGGGGTTGAAGGGCTATAGTACCTCTCTCCTGACACCTATAATGACTTCCCAGATCATGTCCTGAGTTCACCGACTGTGGGAGTTGGATGAGTAGTGGCTTGCAGAGTTGTGAAACTAGTGATTATTGTAGTCACCACATTACCTTATTCTGACAGATTTCAGTTTGCTTTTATATTAAGTTTTACTCAGTTTACAACATTAAGCTTGCAGAGGATTCAGTTATAGTGGTACATAACTTGTATGCGAGGCATGTTAATTTAATACATTATTCTGTAGAGACACCACTCTCCATGTCTAGTTGCCCTTCTCTGATTTAATGCTAAAGTTTGCATCGAGATATATATACTTTGCCTAACTACCACTGTTCTAGGAGGGTTTTTAAGAAGATTTTGGTTTGTGTCTATGGGAATTTGTGCCAAGAGAGGATTTGTGAGTTCAGGCATTGATGTTGGACAAGAAGGTCTGGCCCTCAATCATCCCACAGGTGGTCATTAAGGTCAGACTTCGAGATCCTCCACACAAAACTCAACAAACCACCACTTCATGGACCTCGCTTTATGCACAGGCCCAGTCATGCTGGAATAGGCCAGGGCCTTCCCTTAACTGCTACCATGAAATTGGAAGCTCCCAATTGTCAAAAATAAGGGAATTGTGGGGAATCAAAGTCAAATCAGAGTTCATTTCAAATTTTAGGTTGAAATAATCAATTTGGAAAAATTAACTTCGTTATGTTCCCAGATTAGAAAGGGTCAAATTCTCTTTGAATGCATTTTGAATTCTTGAGAATTCATACTTACTAGTGTATAATCTTGTGAGTAATCTGAACCGTCCAGTTCATGTGAAGTTTATGCGCCATCTAGTGTTCAGTTGACCTTACTCTGTCCATCTGTACTGAACAAGTAGTATTGATAACATCTGACAGCCCGGTCAGGAGATAACCAATAATTTGCAGTAGGAATCCTGTTTAAAACTGCCTCCATTATTTTTCTTTATTATATTTGCCGAGAAAGATATATAATAATATTACCAGGCACAATATTGCTGTTTCCCAATAAAACCAATTTTAATTAAATACAACATCCATCATTGTTACGTTGCCAATAAGATATATCAGGCTTCCACTTCAATGTGCTAAGTTTATTGTCCTGTTTGTATAATAATAGGATTATTTCTTACTCTCCAAATTGTAACGATTTAAAATCCATATGGCAAAACTGGGAACCTTCAACTCAGCTGTAGTTATGGTTTAGCCGCAATTCAGATTTTAATTCACTACAATTCACATCTCTAGTAATTTTCCAAGTGCCTTAAGTGGAGTGTCAGGCCAATCCTGGCACCATAACCACTACAGCAATCTCTGGTTTATATGTTGCTTAGAGTACTACTTTAACTCAGTGGTTGAAAAATTCATGGTCACAACCCTAATACGGGTGGCAATTATCCCCCTTTAGGTCACGGGATCAGAGTCAGCCTTAGAGATGTCCTGACCGTCGGCCATCGCACAGAACACAAACCCCATCAGACCACAACCCACAAAGTACACCTGCCTTCCCTCTGAGTGGCTCCCTTTTGTTTCCTCCAGGTCAGCACTGAGAGGAAGTAATCGCAGGTCAGCCGTATAGGAGGGAAGAGGGAATGTGTATCCTGGACCCTGTTGTTATCAATGGGCACCAGGGAAGTCACTTGACCCCAGGGAAGCCACCCTCCAATTTACTTACTATTTAGATGCAGGAGGGTGGCTTCCCTGGGGTCAAGTGACTTCTCTGGGGCCCATGAAATTGTATTTAAGAATGATATGTAGATTTTAATTTTTTTATGTTACTGGTTTTTTATTAAAGGATCACTATAGTGTCAGGAAAACAAATCGGTTTTCCTGACACTATAGTACCCTGAGAGTGCCCCCACCCTCAGGGTCCCCCTCCCGTGGTGCTGAAGGGGTTAAAACCCCTTCAGTTACTCACCTTCTTCCACCGCCGGGCTCCCTTACCGATCCTCCTCCGTCTGACATCAGCGGAGCGGAATGCGCATGCGTGGCAGTACCGCGCGTGCATTCAAAGTGTCCATAGGAAAGCATTTCTCAATGCTTTCCTATGGACGCTCTGCGTGATGGAGGCATAATATGCCTCCAGCGTCGCAAATGCGCCTCTAGTGGCTGTCCGGAAGACAGCCACTAGAGGCTGGCTTAACCCCAAATGTAAACATAGCAGTTTCTCTGAAACTGCTATGTTTACAGCAGGCAGGGTTAACCCTAGAGGGACCTGGAAACCAGACCACTTCATCGAGCTGAAGTGGTCTGGGTGACTATAGTGTCCCTTTAAGAAGAAAAATAAATAAAAATAACCACTATAGTTCACAACTGTGAAATGGGGGGGGGTGTATATGTGTTTGAACCTGGGGTGTATGTTTGTATCTGTGAGTGTGTGAATCTCTGGTGTTTGTGAGTGAACCTCAGGTGTATGTTTGTATCTGTGAGTGTGACTGTTTATGTGAATGGTTCTGTAAAAGTATGAATTTGTGAGTGATCAAGACTAAAGCAAGGAACTATCTGTATCGTCAGCGTATAACATCACGGTAGCCACTAAATATTTGCCAATTAGTGCTATTAACTTTCTTTTTCTCCTTCAATTTATTCTCATTATTTTAGACAAAATACACCCTATAATGGAATTATATAAGGCTTATCACTGTGTTCCAGATAGCAAAAATAGCTCGGCAATAGTCACTTCTTCATTATTTATTACATTTATTGAAACCCTGATGATGTTATTGTTCTATGCCCTTCCGAGACCACAATCCATCTCTATGGTGATACTGTATTATAAGACATTCTTATCCCATTGAGGTAGAGTCCCAAAGACCGATTTTAGCTGATAAACTACTACAGAAATAGCTTTCAGGAAAAGATCATCAGATACTGGATATTTTATGTAAGAAGAAAAAAAATAGACATTAGTCTTTCTTTCTTAAAAACTAATTTTCGGCAAATCATCTTTATTCATTATCTGATGTTGGACACTGGTTTAGTTTTTTTCTGGGACTTTCATAGGGTAAAAGAAAAAAGATGTGTGACAGATGGACTTAAGTGGGTGACTGCTAAATGCAAGCTTTGAAAGCCACGCCATAAATTCTCTGCACTTTTAAAGGTATGACATATTTATAGCATTGCCAGGTGCATTCTGGGAGAATTTCTTAATTGAATACTGTCTCTTGTGTCTAGAGTATGTGACCAATATAATTTGCGTGGTTCGTAGGGTGAGAATTGCACCTTGGGAGGGAAATTAACAAGTGGGAGGCTGTTTAAAAGTGATATAACAGGCTACACTTTTTTTATGGGTTATAACTATATATGCAAAAACAATAAATTAAAAAATAAAAACTATACTCTTATTTGAAGTTCCAGCAATTGCCTCCAGTCTTTTCGGCCTCTGTAGTGAGCCCAGACCAGGAAGTGAGTTAGCCAATCATGCTTACTTTGTATAACACTGCTGAGTATATCCTGTTAGCAGTGAATTATGAGCAAAGCACAGGAAAAGAGGGGCATAGCGAAAGTTATAAGGTTATGCTGGAGAAAGAAAGCCTTTATTTTTTTTAAGCAATACTAACGAGATTTGCATTTGAAGTAAAACACAGAGCATGAACATGAGGCCAAAATATATCAAATATACTTGAGTTATGTTGGCAGCGGATGTATGACTGGAGTGTTTTTTTAAGCGTACCCCTCAATATCGGTGGAATACCAGGTAAATGAGGCTGGGTGTACGATGTGAATTGCATCACTGCTGCCACCCTAAGGTGGTCAACTTTCCCGGGAAGGGGTCTGCCGAAGAATTGAAAGATAAGCTTGACATTACTACACACCAGGATACCTGCCAATCAAGCACCAAAGGACGACCATGTCGAAGAGCTGTTTCAGCGTAACGTAAATGTCAATAATATTAAATAATTGGAGCACAGGTCAGCAACCTTTCTGAAGATTTATTTGCCTGAAGAAGTGGTTTTATCAGAGTCCATACAGATGTTTAAACAGCTACTAGATGCATACTTGCAAAAACAGAATATTCAAGGATATAATCTTTCAATGTAGGGTAATAGCTGCTTGATCCAAGGATAAATCTGACTGCCATTCTGGGGTCAAGAAGGAATTTTTTTCCTAGTTTGTTGCAAAACTGGAAGTGCTTCAAACTGGGGGGGGTTTTTTGCCTTCTTTTGGATCAGCAGCAAAAAACAGATGTGAGGAAGGCTGAACTTGATGGACACGTCTCTTTTCAGCTTATGTAGCTATGTAACCTATGGCACGTGCGGCATGCATGGCACTCAAGGTGTCTTTGCACAGCACTCAAGGCTGCCGGAGACAAACAAACTATGGTCTATTAAAAGACTTTAGATATCTGCTAGTGCATACCGAGTTGTAATTCCAGGTGATGAGGGACAATTCTCAATGTATGCATTGCAGCACTTAGAGGAAGTGAGCTCGGATCACTGCCTCCAATAATGTGTGAGTGGGAATCTGCACTGGATTAGAGCAGTCAACAACAGCAGCTCCTACCCTTGACTTGTACCTTGTACCGGTTCTGCCGGTTCCACCTCCATCGTCTTTGATGATGTAAGCCAATCCAAAGCTTCCCCATAGGGCACTATTGGCATGCCCTGCAAATTGTAGCGCTGCACCAATCAAAGAGTTTTGCGTCTACATGCAGAGTATGGAGACACTGAACATAGGTCCTACAAAGATTGCAGGACCTCGTCCAGGAAGTCTCTCTACTGGCTGAGGCGTTAGGTAGCAATGTAAACGTTGCCATTATTTACAGTGCCCAGTCTGCAGGAACAGATTATATGCCCCAGAACTACTAAATTAAGCTGTAGTTGTTCTGGCAACTAGAGTGTCCCTTTAAGGTTGGTAGTAAATTTTAGGATTATAATATAATAGTATTAGGATTATGGGCAACATGTTCGTAGTATTTAGCGTTAGTGATAATGTTACGGTTTACTTTTAGAAGTTAAGCTTAGGCATACTATTTAGATTTAGAACTTTAGGTTAAAGGTGGTGCTAAAAGTAGACTTAACATTTGGGGTTGTGGTTAGTTTTTAGTACAATGAGATTATTTGAACATTTAGGGTTAGCAATGTTATTTAAGTTTAGGAGTTAGAATTAGGGTATGTTTTAGCGGTTATGAAGCATCATGTCTTGATTAGATGGCATCTAAATGTCCGACACTCGAATATTGTTTGGTTCCCACCCTGGACTAGCAAGCACCCAAAACATATTTTCTTGTTTGGCATATTCAATGACAGAGAATTTGCAAGTGGGATGAATAGTTTGTGTTGCCATGGTAACTTCACCTGCATTTCAAGCTTGGCTGGCGTTCGGTTTTAAGGCAACGTTCCATATTTTCGAAAACTGCTAATTCGATAAACATCATCTTGCAGCAACGCATTTATGGGACGTAGCCGGCATCATTTTAAGCCTTAACAGAATAGACAATGTAATTTCGCTGAAATATCACTTGAGATGCCAGAGAGGAAATATTAATTCACTTGTCATTGTTAATAGAAAAATAGGCCAAGCTCGTGGGAGACAGAAGCAAATGCATGTGGCTGTATAGGAGGGATAAAAAAAAAACTGAACATTAGAAGGTTCATCAAAATGAAAATTTGGTTTGGAAACAGATCCTCTTTGTGAATCGATATGTAATTAGTTCTGGTAGTAAGCAGGGGGCCGCAGACACACACTCTGGGCTCATTCACTCTCATATCTTTCCCATCCAGATAATAAATGAGTCTGACACATCGGAGTACATGTAAATCTTCTGTCTTTGAGCGTTGTGTCTGAAGAAAATTCTCATAAACCCAGACAAACAAATATTAATACCTTTTAATACTTGGGCGAGTGTTCCAATCGGTGCAGTACGCTTGCACGCACTTTGTCTGCTCAGTGATATATTGGAAAACATTTAT